CCCCTATGATGAGGAGTTGGATAAAGTCCTTAACTGTAGCCTCTTCTCGCCACAGATTGTCACATTAGCCCTCGGCTGCTCTGGTCATCTGCCATCACTGCTAACGGGTTACTATAAATCTCGTACTTATCCATCACAAAGGTACTTCACAAACAAGGTTTTTTTTCTCTTTATTTAAAAAATACAATATAAATTACATATACATAAGTGTTACAAGGCAATTATACATTACAATTCTTAGTGAACAAGTGTTTCAGTAGTACAGAACAAGATCTTTTAAAAAAACTGAATGTTATACTTATTTACCTATAAACGATTTACAAAAATTGGAGAATAAATTTACATTAAAATACAGGGGAAATTATTACATTTATATATATTTTATATAATTCTCAGTAAACAAATTTTCCATATCACCGAACATGAGCCGGCTCGGCTCCTCCTGTGTGTCTTCAAGCACACACAGGTTTTCAGGCTCTTGTCTACAACCTTTAGATCCTGTACTCAACACGTCCTCCCCCAGGAAGCTTCGTGGTGTCACTCCTGACGTTACTCTTGGATATGTCCAACCAACACTGTATAACCTTGGGGAACGCCAACATTTGGTTGGAGCTGTAACTGGCGCCATCTGTCAGACGATGCAGAGTGCAATGGTGCCCACCTGCGATTACAGGTGGCACTTGGGTGCTTCCGTCGCGTGACCTGAGGTCACTTGCTCATTGGCCATACCTGCCAGCGTGTGACCAATCGCCTCTCTTCTCCTGTCCTGCAGCTGAGAATTTCGGTGTCGCTGCCTCTTGATTCTTGGCGGGCTTCTGGGCCGGCGGCGATCAGCCATTTTTGTCACGAGGCTAGGCTCTGCCGCCTCTTCAACCGAAACTTAACAAAAAATATCAAAATTAGGCTTCTGATCTCCCTCTAAGCGTAATCGGATAAATTATGGATACTTCTGCTACCAATATACAGAGGGAGTATGACCCTTGACAAGCGCGAAGAGGCGTGTTGGCGGGATATACATAGCCTAAGCTTCTTTATCCCTTTGAGATGTATTTCTTGTCAATAAACATACCTGAAGAGGCGTGTGAGGCAATCCGCAACACTATATCTACCCCCACTCAATTGCACTGCTCATACTTCTGCTGCTATGTTAACACGAAAGTGCGCAGGTGATTTCTGTTCACACTTTTCCTTTGTGGTTATTCATTGTCATATTATTTATCATGTCTTAATTTTCTTTGTGGTCACACACACACACACACACACACACACACACACACACACACACACACACACACACACACACACACACACACACACACACACACACACACACACAAGCTATGGGGGAGGGGGTTACCTGTCATTGTCCAAGTCGGTCTGTCTGTCACACACTTATAAGAAATATACATTTGTTTACCACTGCCGTGTGGATGGTCGCCGGTGAGAGAGAGCTCATCAGTGTGAAATATTAAAACAATATAAAAGTTACCCCATATACTTTGAGAAGGGGCGTGGCTTGAGAAATTTTTGAAGCTGTGGGAGAATCAGTTATGCTATTACGGGGGAAGTATGGATAGCAAGAAATTTATTTCCCTTATATTAAAGATATAATATATAAATATGCCCACATTCGTACAAATATTATACACAGAAGCCACTTGTGCAACTCATGGGGGTTTGTCTGCCACTGTGCCCTCGGGCACAACAGAAACCTGAATAAAATTAAGCATAAAAACGAGATGTAGAAAGTTTTAAAAACCTTAGCAAAATCGTCCATTAAAACGTGACGGTGAATAAGTCGTGTATGAACTAAGCCTCTCGGCTCCTCTCCTCCGCCTCCAGTTCAATAACAGGAAAAAAACGACCCTCTGAGGAACTGGTGTTCTGGGAAACACAAACGCTTGTAATACCCTTTCTCAGACGTTACAACATGTTAATATTACAAAGAAAAATTGTTGATGTAATCAGGGCAGACGATCTATGTCCTGGATTGCGATTTAGTGAGATGCAATACGTCAGACTGAGTGAGAACGTTTGTGGAAACACTCAAGGAAAGGTTCTGAATATACCCGAAGGTCATCATCACTATAGTGGCCTTGACGGGACCAGGAAGCCGGCGGCTTGTCAAAGGTCGCCACATTGGTCTTGAGGATTGTTTGTCTAAATTTTAAACTGAAACAATATCTTGGCATTTACGGCTTCGGCGGGTAGGCGGTTCCATGAGTATTACATCTTTTCTGTTCTACACCGTGGCTGGTTGAGCTTGAATTAATATCTTCAAATTTGTTCAATGTTGTTATAGGTCTTGCTGAGATCGGCCCTGTAGTGCCGGGTTTGCCTTGTTAGTTCTGAGCTCTTCAATTTGTCATGTATGACAGTTGATTTTCCTTCCATCTCTTACCTTCTCCTGATCGTCCACATGTCTCCTGATACCTGCTGGATGGGGTTGTGGGAGTTCTACTCCCAAAGCCCGGCCCGAGGCCAGGCTTAACTTGTCACTTCTTGTTTTGCCCATCTCCATTATCTTAAACTTGTTGGGACTGAATTCTAGCAAATGTTTGTTTGCTGGAGCTTATCAAGGTCATCCTATAACTTTCTCCAGTCCTTCTTTGTGTTTACATTCAACATTAACCTTGCAAACGTTGACATGTTCGAGCGCACTCCTTTGGTCTACCCATTCACAAATTAGAACCAGCAGAGGTCCCAGGACCCGACCTTGTGGGACCCCACTTGTTAAAATTCTCCAGCTTGAAATCCCGACTCGTGACTGCCTCGATCATTATGTATTGTCTTCAGGTACTGCCACACAGTTTAGACTTTTCTCGGTTATCCCAGAATATTTTTCCGTCTTGTGCACCAGTCTTTCATAAGGAAGTCTCTTTTTCTGTATACATATAATTTTGGGAAATAACGTGGTTATTGGTTGAAGATTGTGTACGTGGGAGTGTAATTACCGAAGTGTAGTTACAGGATTAGAGCTACGCTCGTGGTGCAACCTGTCCTCTTACAAAGAACGTCGATTTTCGCTCGTTTGTGTTAAATAAGGCTAAATATTGTCGTGCTAGAAAATGGAAGCGGCTGGCGAAAGTGACGTACTGTCCCGTTTTCTGTTTTGGGTCCTCCCCTCCCCCCCCCTGGCTTAGTCTGTTAGGTTAGAAGAGGACACTTTAAATTGACCGTTTTCATGACGTGTTGAAACCTTACGAGGACGGTCCGCGTGGCGTCCCGTCTTCCCGACACTCACACATGATGCAATGACAAAAATAAAAGCAAACATCATCCCAGGTACTTATTGACTGCTGGAATAGGAAGTGGAAGGGAACTATCAGGAGAAAGCGTCAAACCATTACGACTATATAGCACTTGGAAAGGGTTCAGGATAAGGATTGTGGGATGGGACGGGAGGATGAAGGAATGGTGCCCAACCACTTGTGAACGGTCGGGGATTGAACGCCGACCTGCATGAAGCGAGACCGTCGCTCTACCGTCCAGCCCAAGTAATGCTGTATGTGGGGTGTTAGACAAGTTTTCTTCACGATCATGTAATATTTTCTAATAGACAATATTATCACTCTTTATATTGTAGTTTTCTGGAATATTAGTAGAGGTGTGTGTGTGTACTCACCTATTTGTGCTTGCGGGGGTTGAGCTTTGGCTCTTTGGTCCCGCCTCTCAACTGTCAATCAACTCGTGTACAGATTCCTGAGCCTACTGGGCTCTATCATATCTACATTTGAAACTGTGTATGGAGTCAGCCTCCACCACATCACTGCCTAATGCATTCCATCCGTTAACTACTCTGACACTAAAAAAGTTCCTTCTAACGTCTCTGTGGCTCATGTGGGTACTCAGTTTCCACCTGTGTCCCCTTGTTCGCGTCCCACCAGTGTTGAATAGTTTATCCTTGTCTACCCGGTCGATTCCCCTGATTGTGATTGGTCGATTGTGTGTGTGTGTGGCAGGGGGAGAACATTGTATAGACGCTATAATCTTCCCTAAAGATACAAGAATGTCAACAATCGCACCTTGAACGCAACAGAGAACCTTAACTGGTCAACATTTGGGATGCAACAATACCAATATACAGTGCTTTCACTCATAACTACATCGAAGAACATATTCCAGGAATATAATGCCAGTACTGCTAATTAACCCAGTAACATCAATTGAAGTCATGAATGTAAAGTAATGAAACTAGGCAGTGGAAACAGGAGGCCAGACACAGGATACAGAATAGGAGATGAAGTACTTCATGAAACGGACAGAGAAAGATCTAGGAGTTGATATCACACCAAACCTGTCTCCTGAAGCCCACATAAAAAGAATAACGTCTGCGGCATATGCGAGGCTGGCTAACATCAGAACAGCGTTCAGGAACCTGTGTAAGGAATCATTCAGAATCTTGTACACCACATATGTAAGACCAATCCTGGAGTATGCGGCCCCAGCATGGAGCCCGTACCTTGTCAAGCACAAGACGAAGCTGGATAAGAGTTCCGAGGTATGCCACTAGACTAGTCCCAGAACTAAGAGGCATGAATTACGAGGAAAGACTGCGGGAATTGCACCTCAGGTAGCTGGAAGACTGGAGAGCTCGGAGAGATATGATTAAAATCATCGGAGGAATTGACAAGGTAGATAAAGATAAACTGTTTAACACGGGTGGTGCGCGAACAAGGGGACACAGGTGGAAACTGAGTACTCACATGAGCCACAGAGACGTTAGAAAGATTTTTTTCAGTGTCAGAGTAGTTAACAGATGGAATGCATTAGGCAGTGATGTGGTGGAGGCTGACTCCATACACAGTTTCAAATGTAGATATGATAGAGCCCAGTAGGCTTAGGAATCTGTACACGAGTTGATTGACAGTTGAGAGACGGGACCAAAGAGCCACAGCTCAACCCTCCGCAAGCACAACTAGACGAATACAATTTTAAAATCCCCCCCACACCTTGACGTCAGTGAGTGGAGGCGCGCGCATTGTAAGCCCTGGAACCGTCTGGCGGGCGGCCAGCACCTACATAAAGGTTTGAGGAGCCGTCGACCGCGCCAGACTCTCAAAGACAGGTACAGAAAACCACCGAGTGCGTGTGTATACATTCTCCATCTGCCCCCCCTCAAAATAGCACATCTCCTGGGTCCCCTGCTTCCTAGCCTGATGCAACTTGATCATGACCTGTTAACACTTTGCTAGATCAACTGACAACGGTGGTCAACCCATTCAAGAGGCTGTTGACAGCCATTTTCTTCAGCGGCCGAGTCATTACACCGCTCCAGTTTGTTTTTCTGGTTGACACTTGTGCCTTGTCTTTCTGTTTGAAAAGGTATGTCTGGCAGCTGTGGGTTTTTACTGGTGTGTGACAGGTGTGTATAGCTGTACACACCTGCAGGTGGGTGGGAGAGAAGTGTATTTTAGATGTGTGTTTATTTACGTGTGTTGGAAAGAAGTGTCTTTATTCAGGCATGTGGGGAGATCAGTGCAGTTCACATATGTGGCATAGGAGTATATTTTTACAGGTGTGTGTGGGATATTAGTGCTAATCTACAGGGTTTGTACACGTGTAGGATAATGTGTGTTAACAGGTATATACGATAACATCAGTCATTGTACAGGTGTGTAGAATAACACCAGTATGTGTGTACAGGTGTGTATAATAACATTGAATAGGTCCACTTCTCATATATAGGTCCACTTCTCATATAATGTTGCTTTTGACCTTAAAGTTCAAGAATGTTTATTGAGACAAGGAAGAAATACATCTCAAAGGGATAGAGTAGCTTAGGCTATTTCTACCCCCCTCCCCCCTTGACCTTCGAGACAGTTTACTGTGTGTTCAACTGTTGTCATTTTGTAATTAATCTCTTGAATTCCTCTTATGCTCCTGTCTTGCCCCTAGTCCGGCCGTGCTTCCCTGCTTTATGGATTTCTAACACCTTTTTTTGTACACTTTTTTTCCATGTTTTGCCTCGTGAAGTTGGCGTCACCGAGCCAATAGGGGACTGCCTATTGTTACTGCGTTCATAGACAAGGATGATTTATCGGCCGTTTCCTAGCTGCTTTAGGCGAGGGAGCCGCTTATGCCTGTGCTTGGTACCACCATTGGTCCTTGACATGACATTTCTCAATCCTTTGTAGTCCCCCCCGTCAGCATGCCCGCCGCGTTCTCCCTGGTCTTGCCAATCACCTGTTGTTGCTTGAGATTCAGCTACGGGGAACACAAAGTTGCAAGTAGCACGGGTTATGGTGAGCCCGTGGTGGACTTACCTGGCACAGGAGCGGGGCTGTGGTGAGCCCGTAGTGGACTTACCTGGCACAGGAGCGGGGCTGTGGTGAGCCCGTGGTGGACTTACCTGGCACAGGAGCGGGGCTGTGGTGAGCCCGTGGTGGACTTACCTGGCACAGGAGCGGGGCTGTGGTGAACCCGTGGTGGACTTACCTGGCACAGGAGCGGGGCTGTGGTGAGCCCGTGGTGGACTTACCTGGCACAGGAGCGGGGTTGAGACTGCTGGTGTCAATAACTTGTGTCCACACCTCCGCTGGACGCTCTAAGGTCTTTACTCCCAGATCGTTCACATCTGAGGACGTTGCATTGTTCACTCAAGTTACAAGTGAACTTTTCAGAGAGATTCAGCATTATCATCTCTTGTGGGAGCGACGACACGCTGCTTCAGGAAATTCCAACCTCTTGGCTTACCCTGTGTCTCGCCTCTATTGAAGGTCACCTCGATTGAAGGAATGGCTTAGAAACGCACTTGCCATGAATTAGAAGAGTCTAGGGATGGTTACCTTACCTTACAGGTTGGTTACCTTGCGATGATTTCGGGGCCTCAGCGTCCCCGCGGCCCGGTCCTCGACTAGGCCTCCTGGTAGCTGAACTGGTCAACTAGGCTGTTGGACGCGGCTGCATGTCCAACAGAGCACACTCGTTCCCGACTTTGCATAAAGCGTTGGTCAGACCCTCGCCTGGGGATACCCTGTGGTATTTTTGTCCATTTCAAAATAAGATGAAGACAATCTCGAGACGAAAAAGAGGTGACATTTTTCATAAGCTGCCAGTATGAAGTTCAATACAATTGATAAAAAGGATTGGGCTCGAGTACCAACATGTTCAACAACAGTAAGTTATTGTTCGTGTAGTCCCCCTTACCACACGCTCCGTAGACAAGTAGAGCACGAACGTAACAGGAGGTAGAATAGTAGATGTAATAGACTATCTACTGACGGAGGAGCACCACGCCTCCCAGCGTCGCAGATAAACCCACAGACGACTATACCTACAATTACATCACCAAAGCCACAATTACAGACAGTAAGAAATGGCTGGAAAGGCGTGTTTGTGATTATTAATATATCTATGTATTTATGGAACTCCCTGAGATGCTGAATACAGGATACTAACGACTGAACTACATTGTTACAGGATGTGGAGGAGTGTGTGGTTGTTAGTGGTGGTGGTGGTGGCGGGTCCCGCCGTGCTGGCCTCGGCTCACAGACACGCCAGGCAGGGTAAGTCTTGCCTTTTTTTTTTCCTCGACTAAAGATGAAGGAAAAGTTGCAGACATGTGGCTTTGTTGTTTATATTCCACAAGGGCCGTGACGAGGATTCGAACCTACGTCAGAGAGCATTCCAGACGCTGCCTTAATCGACTGAGCTACGACATGGTAAAAGAATTGCAGTGTCCGGGATGCTCTCGGACGTAGGTTCGAATCCTCGTCACGGCCCTTGTGGATTTGTTAATTTGATGCCTCACGCTATTGTGATTTATGTGAGTAGTGTGGAATATAGTTTGAGTTCTGAGGTCAAGCGGGTTGATCACATTGTTGATGACACCCGTCTCTACCCCCCCCCCCCCCTCGCCTCCCTCCCCCCCCTCTTCCCTCCCACCCCCCCCCCTCTCTCCCTCCCCCCCCACTCTCCCTCCCCCCCACTCTCTCCCTCCCCTTCCCCCCCCCCTCCCCTCCCCCCCCACTCTCCCTCCCCCCCCCCCCTTTCCCTCTCTTCCCTCCCCCCCCACCCTCCCCCCCCCCCTCTCCCTCCCCCCCCCCTCTCCCCCTCCCTCCCCCCCCTCTCCCCCCCCCCCCCTCTCTCCCTCCCCCCCCCCTCTCTCCCTCCCCCCCCCTACTCTCCCTCCCCCCCCACTCTCCCTCCCCCCCCCTCTCTCCCTCCCCCCCCACTCTCCCTCCCCCCCCACTCTCCCTCCCCCCCCTTCTCTCCCTCCCCCCCCCACTCTCCCTCCCCCCACTCTCCCTCGCCACGTCCGAGTTCCCCAGGTGATGACATCAGTGAGGCAAGGACCCCCTGGGTAATACCCAAGCGTACGCACGCACGCACAAGTCCTCACACTTGAGTGAACATACCTCTGGGGTCGTAGTCCTAAGAGCCCGGGTTAGATTCCCGGTCGAGGCAGTAACAAAATGAGCAAACTTCCTTTAATCTGATGCATCTGTTCTCAACAGTAAATAGGTACCTAGGAGTTAGACAGCTGCTACGGGCTGCTTCCTGGGGATGTCTGTGAGAGAACTATGTAATAGATGGAGGGAAAATAGGTCGGGAGTAGGTACATTAGATAATCAACTGTTGGAACGTCGGGGTCCAAGAGCTAAGAGCTCGATCTTGCAGGCATTAATATTAAACATAAACACACAGTTTCGACCCGAGTACCCAAATGAGCCACAGAGACATTAGAAAGCATTTATTTCAGTGTCGGAGTAGGTAACACATGGAATGCCCTAGGCAGTGATGTGGTGGAGGCTGACTCCATACAGTTTCAAATGTAGATATGATAGAGCCCAGTAGGCTCAGGAACCTGTACACCAGTTGATTGACAGTTGAGAGACGGAATCAAAGAGCCCAAGCTTAACCCCTGGCAAGCATAATTAGGTGAAGTTCGAAGTCATGGTAATTAATGATGCTATCTTTAAAGGCGGGGTTTAGGGACGAGTGGTGAGAGTTGGTTTACTCTTAAGGATTACGATGACCGCTCTTCCGGTCTAAATATATGTTCCAGTTTTAGTCAATGGAGCGCCCAACAGAAACTCCATATCCTTGATAATACTAACAAGTGACTTTCTCAACCTCCCTCCCTCCTTCAGTAGCCAAATGCAGTCCGGAGGAGCCGTGCACCCCTCTCAACGCCTGCCAGCACTTCCAGAACCTCCTGAGGGGTCCTTCGCGAAATGAAGCCGCCAGGTTGATCCGTAAAGCTGTCTGCAGCACCGACCGAAGGAACACTATGGTGAGTCGCTGAGGCTGCGGCCTCTTGCTTCAGAACTGTTGGTCCTGATAATCCTTGATTCTCCCACACACAGTAGTAAGACTTGTCAAGCAGAGTGCGTGATGGATTAGCTCATATGGAGGTTGTTGATGTTGTTTAAGAATCGCTACTTGGAACTAAAAGTTCCAAGTAGCTCGAGCTATGGTGAACCCGTAGTGGCCTTACCTGGCACAGGAGCGAGGCTGTGAGGTCACATGGAGCGGCGTGTTTACCTTAGATGCAGCACCGTGTGTCAAGCAGCAGGTGCGGGTAACGCTATGGCTGTAGTGTTGTTGAAGAGACGCAAGTCTTGACAGAGGTCTGACGGAAACCTCGGTCAATAACAAGGGTTTATTGCAATGGATATTACATTGGCTATAGGTGTGGCAAAGAAATTACCCCTCACTCAACCGCCCCATTCCCCTCCTCCCCTTCCTTCCCCCCCCCCCCCCCCCTCCTTCCCCCCCCCTTCCATCCCCCCCCTCCCAGCTGCGACAGGGTACATAACCTGTTCCATCTATTTCGTTGACTGAACAAACAACAAATGCATCAGATTGTCATTCAGACTTCGTGAGCTTGATACACATACATTATACATCTTCAAGATCTTAAACGTGTTTACCATTTCTTTCTCAAGGTGTGTTGTCCCAAGTCCAGTGGCGTTACAACTCCTACCACGCCCAGACCGACGCCCACGCCCACTCCTGCCACCCCGCCACCAGCGCCCACGCCCACCATCGACCCAGCAGTCGGCGAGGCCAGCCTGCCTAAGAGCTGCGGTAGTGTGAGAAGCTTCAACAAGATCTTCTTCGGCGAGGACGCCAACCTGGGTGATCATCCCTGGATGGCTCTGCTCGGCTATGGCAGTGAGTCCTCGTGTCTCGGGGCCTCACTCCCCCCCCCCCCCCGACTGTCTCTCACCTCCTCCTTCCCCCTGCCCCCCCCCTGTTTGTCTCGCTACCTACCCCCCCACCCATCAGTTCCTCGCCCCTCCCCCCCCCACCCCCCGACTGTGTCTCACCACCTCCTTCTCCCTCCCCCCTTTCTCTCGCCACCTACCACCCCCCCCCCCCGTCTGTTCCTCGCTTCTCTCTCCCACCCCCCCTTTCCCTCCCTCCCTCTCTTTCTTTCTCCCCCCTCCCTCCTCTCTCTCTATCTCCCTCCCTCCCTCTCTTCCCCCTCCCTCCCTCCCTCTCCCCCCTCTCACCTCTCCCCTCCTTGTTAATTCATCAACAATCTCCCAAACTTTGCACATAGTTCTTATATACAATTTTTGTACACAACTAATTAACGACTGACACATTCTTATATTTTTTTAAACGAAATTTAATTTTTTTTCTCTTACGAATGAAATGAACCATCTGTGGTGGGTGGTGGTGACTGCACGCGCGTGTGCGAGAGCAGCCAAGGAGAGTCCCAAGTGGGGTTGCGGGGCGGCACTCATCACAGAGTCTTATGTTCTCTCGGCTGGACACTGCGTCGACCTCGCCTTCACCGGCGGCCTCTCAGTGTAAGACTCCAGGACTTGTATTTTTAAGCGTGTTGAAGCTAGTCACTTTGGAAACTTTGCCTCACTCTGACGCTCACTCTCTCACTGGCAGTGTGATGGTGAGGTTGGGAGAGCACAACTTGGCCACCAGCAAAGACTGTGAGACCCAGATGGGGACTGGAGGGCAGCTGTGTGCCGAACCCGTCCAGGACATTCCTCCCGCTGCCATCTACAAGCACCACAAGTTTAACTCACTCTCGCACGCCAACGACGACATCTCGCTCCTCAAACTGCAGAAGAAGGCGACATTCAACTGTGAGTCCTCTCTAAAGTTTTTAAAAGTTATCCCCTTCACTTCGTAGCAAGTCTGTCCTTATATATGTTAAAGACGTGTTATTATGTCGGCAATTTTGTTTTGTTTTTGTAATACGGTTGGTAACCAGGTCACGGGTGTAGATTGAGGCTCCAGGTCACTGGTGTAGATTGAGGCTCCAGGTCACTGGTGTAGATTGAGGCTCCAGGTCACTGGTGTAGATTGAGGCTCCAGGTCACGGGTGTAGATTGAGGCTCCAGGTCACCGGTGTAGATTGAGGCTCCAGGTCACGGGTGTAGATTGAGGCTCCAGGTCACGGGTGTAGATTGAGGCTCCAGGTCACGGGTGTAGATTGAGGCTCCAGGTCACTGGTGTAGATTGAGGCTCCAGGTCACTGGTGTAGATTGAGGCTCCAGGTCACTGGTGTAGATTGAGGCTCCAGGTCACTGGTGTAGATTGAGGCTCCAGGTCACTGGTGTAGATTGAGGCTCCGCCTATAGTCACTCTTTTTGTTACAATGTTTTGACTGTGCTAAGAATATCAAAGGTCTGTGGTCTACCAAACCTGCGCCGTCAACCCGTTGCCTTCAAATCAAATGTTTATTCAGCTAAAAGTACATAAAACAAAATGAGTTACAAACATAATGTTGAATTTCTAGAAAGAGGTAGTAAATTTAATGCCTAAATGCACTAATACGTGAAAGGGAAGGTACTCCATTGGATAAAGGTGTACCTAAGCAATAGAAGACGGCAAGTCAGTGTGAGGGGTGAGGTCTCAGGTTGGCGAGGCATCACCAGTGGGGTCCCGCAGGGGTCAGTCCTTGTACCTATAATGTTTCTGATATATGTAAATTATTTCCCAGAAGGAATAGACTCGTTCCTCTCATTGTTTGTTCATGATGCAAAAATTAGGAGGAGGATTAAGAGGAAGATGAGGTTACAAGATGACCTAGACAAACTGAAGGAATGGTCCAACAAATGGCTACTAAAGTTCAACCCAAGGAAATGTAAGGTAATAAAACTAGGCGGAGGAAACGGGAGGCCAGACACTGGATACCGAATGGGAGATGAAGTCCTTAATGAAACGTACAGAGAACGATCTAGGAGTTGATATCACGCCAAACCTGTCTCCTGAACCCCACCTCAAAAGAATAACATCAGCGGCGCATGCGAGGCTGGCTAACATCAGATCTGCCTTCAGGAACCTGTGCAAGGCATAATTCAGAACCTTGTATACCACATATGTAATGCCAATCCTGGAGTATGCGGCCCCAGCATGGAGCCCATATCTTGTCAAGCACAAGATGAAGCTGGAAAAGTTCAGAGATATGCCACTCGACTAGTCCCAGAACTAAGAGGCATGAGTTACGAGGAAAGGCTGTGGGGAACAGACCTGTGAGATTTATATTTATTTAATTTATATGAATTTATAGTGTTTATAGTTACATTAATTCATATATTTCGATAGCAATTTGTATGAGGTTTAAGTGGACTGTGTTTCTGCAATATTCTCATAAATCGACTCCTTGCACATTAGGGGGGGGGTTATATTAAATTTATATATATGCAGCCCATCAAACTACAGTATTAAACTAGATATATTAGTAACGAAGATTGGGAGGTCTTATCTCATTGTATGGTAGGCCTGGTCCACCAGGTATAAACAAGGGTGATGACACCAAATAATCCTGGTAGTTGAGGCTACCATCACCACCAGGTACTGGTTTACTAAGATTAATTCTTGCTTTCTCTTCAATTGTTCCTGTCAAAGGGCACTTACTGTAAAGCCGGAATCATTATATATATATATATATATATATATATATATATATATATATATATATATATATATATATATATATATATATATATATATATATATATATATATATGACATCTATATGACATCTATATCAGAGGAAGTATTGGTATATTATTTATAAGATATGGGATATGGACCAAGGAATAATTACCTGGGTTTAGTAGCTTCATGCCTGCTAACCGGTTTGCCCTATATACCTTCCATAACTGGCCAGATATGACTAGATAAGAAACGGGTGTCGGTAATACACATCCTTTATAGTAGACGTAGTTTCGTGTCGATAACAGAAGCACTCCTGTGACACAGCTGTCCAAGGGAGAATTCTAGGAGCTGAACTCGCTGCAGCGACTGTGGTCTAGCAACAAAGGTTGACAACCTCTCCTCCACTGACGCCCTGGCTCTTTGTCCAGATGTCAATAAATGGTAGAAAGGTCACATTTACTCTATTTTGATACTGATAATTAAGTTTATTCAAGCAAGATGTTTTTATGATAGCAGTCTTTGGACTTTTGTATTAAGAATAATTCCCAACAGAATAGCTGGTGAATTTATAGCGCTATGTGGCAATGATCTCGTTTTCTATTGACGGAAAATTCCACTGCGCCACGTCTTCTATTAGTGAATTTATATATACAACAGCAGCAATATTATCTGCCTATTGTATTGAATATTAGTAAATGGTGTCGGGTTTTCCGGCAATGCACCTCGCGTCGCTAAAAGACAGGAGAGCTCAGGGAGACATGATCACTTCCTACAAAATTCTCAGGAATTGATAGGGTAGATAAAAATAAACCGTTTACCACGGGTGGGACGCAAATAAGGGGACACGGGTGGAAACTGAAAACCCAAATGAGCCACAGGGACATTAGAAGGAACTTTTTCAGTGTCAGAGTAGTTAACGGATGGAATGCATTAGGCAGTGATGTGGTGGAGGCTGACTCGATACACAGTTTCAAATTGAGATATGACAGTCCAGTAGGCTCAGGAGTCTGTACACCAGTTGACTGGCTGTTGAAAGGTGGGACCAAAGAGCCGAAGCTCAACCCCCGCAAGCACAACTGAGTACACACACACACGCTGAAGTTGTCGTACAAGCACTGGCAGGTACCAGCTGGTAGGCGAGAACACAGCAGTTGGCTAACATATTGTGTCTGGTGTTCGCTGGTGCAGTGTTCGTCCAACCCATCTGCCTGCCTCCTGTGGGATTCGACGTGAAGAGTTTCCTGGGCGGGAGGAACGCGACGGTGGCGGGCTGGGGACGCACCGAGAACTCCCCCACCTCCGACATCCTCCAGAGGGTCCATCTGCCTCAGGTGGACCTAGAAGAGTGCAAGAATCTTTACGAGGGAAATGTCACCCCGGATGAGGTCAGTAAGATTGGATCATTTAGTTCTAATCTCTCCCACTCCTCTTTCGTCTCTTTCTGTCTCATCCTTTCTTCTCGTTCGTCTCCTCCCCCTCTCTCGCTCCCTCTTGGTTACCACTTGTTAGGTAGAGCGACGGTCTCGCTTCATGCAGGTCGGCGTTCAATCCTTAACCGTCCAAATGGTTGGGCACCATTCATTACCCCCGTCCCATCCCAAATCCTTATCCTGACCCCTTCCAAGTGCTGTACAGTTGTAAAGGCTTGAGGCTTTCTGTTGATAGTTCCCTTCCCATCTATCTAGCTCTCTCAGAAAACGTAATACTGTATTCATTTTCATCCTCATTTTCATTACACACTATCACTGTAACCACCTTCACTACCCGGGCACCGCTGGATCTCCATCTAGAACCTTCCCTACCCCCTCACCACTGTATCTTCAATATATACTATATTAGAGAGTATACATGTATGGCCAAGGTTGGGGGCCAGGAGCTTGGTGCTAACCTCACTAACTCGTGGCTTCTCTGTATAATTGTATTATAGCTGAATATATTCAGATATGTCATTAGCATGCATCAGTATTCTTCAAATGACACTACCGAATTGGTAGGGACAGAGCGAGGCTAAGAAAAGAATACTAAGTATATATAAGATATATTCAGTGTATGTAGAATTTCGTATATGCACAATCCCACAACACAGCAGTGTCTGAAACAGTTATACACCAACCAGCGTCCGCTGGTCACCACCTAATCCCTAAATCATTCCTGTCCCCGGAGAACTACTTGTCTCTCTAATTACTGGCCAAAGATGGTCACTCATAACACACAGATTGGTACACACGATACTAGCTCGCGTAATCCACCAAGAGGTCGGCACTCGGGGCATGTTGACCAGATGTCTGCGCCAGGGCTGCTGAACCCCTATGGCTCCCACTGGTCCACGCAATCTGGCTTGCAGGACACAACTTTGGTTTTTTATATATCAATAAAAAAAAAGTACAAAAACAGGGACACAAGTGCAAAACGACATATAAATACAAACAATCGTGCTTATAGCAAGCACCATGAAACAGACATAAAATACATACAATGGGTCACAGGAAAGAACACAGGACACAAGCCAAGAAACCCACAAACAGCACGGGTCAGAAAATGCATATAATACACAACAAATAAATGACAGAAGGACAATAACAAAAATGTACAAGAAAAAATACACAAATTACAACAAATGTACAGAAAGCCAACCCCCCCCTAGAACAGAAAAGGGGAGTAAATGAGAACACAAGCACGGCCAGTCCTACCCTGCACACAAAGGAGAATAACCGGACATAAATGGGGGCACCAATAACACAGTAACATGAAATCCAAAAACTACATATTAGAACATAAATAACATAAAATATGTACAAAGAATAAAGCAATTATAAGGACAAAGAAATAATCACACGCACACACAACCCATGCAACATACACAACCACACCACCCCACACCAAGACGCCCGCCACCCCATCACACGAGGTACGCGCAACGACAGGAAGGAAAACATCAAACGCCCACAACCGCATACAACCACAACACAAACACCCATACCATACAAAACAAATCGCAAACACAACAAAACAGGCCACGCAGGAGCCAGGAACAGACACCTACACCACACACACGCACAGACAAGGACACCCACCTGTGCACGCAGGCACTGGGCAAACATTACACACAACACATAAACCAACCACACGAATCACTCAAACTTCTCCGGGTACTCCCAAGCCGGAAACCGTAAGCAATAAGCATCCCAAACAAGTTGGTCACCTTCAGCAAGCGGACATCCAGGAGGCGCAGTAGGCCGAGGCATCGAATCCAGCACGTCCATGACTAAACACTGCGCCTGCGGAACCCAGATGATAGATGGGCACCAGGGAACAGGACGCACCAGGTCATCAGTCTTAAAACAGAGATGTCGTAGATCTGTCGATCACCTCGCCGGACAGGAGGACGAAAGGGATGGGTTTCTCCCTTAGGAAGCCGGTCACAGGGCTGCACACTCGGAAGCACACCAGGCTGCACAGCGGGCCGCATACCAGCTCGCCCACTAGAGCGCGCACTTCGTTCAATGCCGGGCATCGCACCGAGCCCTGCGGAGGGTGGCTCCGCAGGCGCCCCAGTGCCCCCACCAATCGAAACAGGAGCAGAGGCCCCCCGACGCACATCCTTCGACAACACCACTACGAGGTCGCGGTCACCAGGGGCAACCGCCCAATGAGGATAGCCACCAGCAGGGGGCACAGCATCCAACACAGAAGGCACCACAGGAGGTAGCACAACGTCGCCCACAGCATCATCATCCATATCGTCTCGCTCCTCTGCCCACGTCTGGCGAGGTGATGCACCCCGAGGCAAACGACGGCGCTTAGAAATGGGCCGTTGATCGTCGGAACTGTCACCCCATGCAAGCGGTGTCCCAGAAGAACCATCTGCAGGCGACCCCAAAGCCGGGGCAGCACGACCACGCAGAACGGTAGCTTCAACGACGCGGGGCAAAAAGCCACTACCATCCATGGAGACCGGATTCGGTGAAAGAAGAGACACAGCAGGCGGAAGGATAGACTCCAGCACACGTGAGGTATCCAGCGAGGACGACAGAACCGGCAGAGGAGAAGAGGAATGTGGTAACGAGGAAACTACCAGAGGCGACGAGGCAGAGGGCGGAGTCACACACACCACCACCCCGACAGCCCCGGGAAGCACATGTCTGTCTGCAGGAGATGCAGGCATCACCCCTACAGCACCATCCAATGCCCGCATGGAATCAACCAGCTGCGGATGCACCTCCGCAACCACAGAACGTCGAAGGTTCGAAGCAGGAGCCCCTAGGTCCTCAGAGCTCACCGGTGGGGCAAACAGATCAGGGCCAGATGGAGCGCCATCTGGAACCGCCACAGGAACCACGCCAGGCACCTGTACAGAGCGAGGATCCGCCAGGGAATCCCCACGCACAAACGGGGTAAGTCATCCTCCAGGAAAACTGAAGGGGCCTCAGCACAAGGAGCATCGCAGCTGGCCGCCACGTGGCCCTCCGCACCACACCGGAAACAGGTGCGTGTTTGACCCTGATAAAATATCCGTAATGAAAGCCCACGAAACGAAACCCTGGAAGGAATAGGGCTCATGACCCGCATGACGAGCGTACGAGCGCCCAGACGAACCTCTTTCAGCCGGCCCGCACTCAGTGGTGAACCTGTGCTTCACCGCCGTACCAAACCACATAAACACCGACATCAGCTCTGCCTTGGGGAAGGTCACCGGCACACTGTGAACACTCACAAAAGTCAAGGGCCCCCAGGGATCCGAAATCTCCACAGTCACAGCCGAAGCAGGAAGAGAAAGCGAGCGTGCGTGCATCCCAGCGTGCCACAAACTCCTGGTAAAGCAGCGACGTGGCAAATGACACCGCCACACGGATAGGGGAGATCTTTTCTAGCCCCAGGAGATCAGAGACGTTAACACGGAGCACGTTCAGGAGAGCAATCTCCACAATGGGCCAGTCCACTGCACCAGAAAAATCCAGCAGTACTGTATCTACCCGTCAAACACAGCTACCACCAGCTACCTCCATACCTCCAGCCAGATCCCCGGCTAGCGGGCGCTCCACACCTCCAACAGCCAACCACCACGCAGCAAGGGTAAACGACGACTGGCCGCTCTAGCCCGACCTCCGCACCCTTTGGCCAGTGTCCAGGAACTCATTCACTTGCAGGACACAACTGGTAGGCTCCACTCGCTTGAGCTAGTACCTCTACTCCAAAATCCAGGTCTGGTCACATGTCCTGTCAGGCCCCTGGTACCTACCGTCTTTTCATCCCTCCGCTAGAAACTGTTTCTAAACATAAAATATAAACTGGAAAGTTTTATACTTCCTTATCAAGGGAAGAACATCAAAATAGAGAATATTCGTGCCAGAATCACTTCTCGGTCCCCCCCCCCTCACCTCACCTCCTTATCTCTCACCCTGCAGCTGTGCTTCGGAGGAGCTGGTCGGCGGGACTCCTGTGTGGGTGACTCTGGCGGACCTCTCTTTGCGGTGGGCCTCGGCAACCCCACCTACACCCTGGTGAGTAGTGTGTGTGTGTGTGTGTGTGTGTGTGTAGCTTTTAAAACGGAAGGGAAGGGAATTGTCAGGATAAAGCGCCAAGATTAAGAGATGCCGTTTTATTCTAAAAAAAGATATAGGTTCTGAGCTTTGGTAATAATGAATGGCGTATGTCCGGACTCTTACAGTCCAGACAATATTTAAATTGTGAGGAAGCTCTAGTGGCAAAAACTATTGTATAATACAGGAAATAGGATACTGGGATTTATTCCCAAAGGCATTAACACTCTGGTGTCTAATATTATTTGATCTTGCCCTCGTTTGACCCTTCTTGAGAGGTTATTTGAGATGATTTCGGGGCTTAGCGTCCCCGCGGCCCGGTCCTCGATCAGGCCTCCATTCTGTTACACACCCCCAAGAAGCAGCCCGTAGCAGCTGTCTAGCTCCCAGGTACCTATTTACTGCTAGGTAACAGGGGCATCAGGGTGAAAGAAACTCTGGCCATTTGTTTCCGCCTCCGCCGGGGATAGAACCCGGATCCTCAGGACTACGAATCCCGAGCGCTGTCCACTCGGCTGTCAGGCATACTCTAATTGATATATGCAGATCAGTTCCAGCCCCGTACTATAAAATGGACAGGTTCAATAGGAAGTGTACATAGAAGGATGACATGTTATCAGATGAATTAAAAACACCTCTTATGTGGATAGAATAAAAATCCTTAATTTAAATTCTCTAGAAAAACGAAGAATAGCATGACTGACGGATGAAAGGTTATAACAAATGTGTAAACAAGGTTTTCAATATATCAACAAAAAAATAGAACACGGATGAATGGGTTTAAACTGGGCACGTTTATATTCAGGAAAGACCTGGGTAAATACTGGTTTGGAAACAAGGTTGTTGATTTACGGACTAAATTACCCAATTTCCTTTGTGTTTGTTAGACATATGGACGAGTTTGGGTGGATACAAATAGGAGCCGCTACATGTGTGTGTTGTAGGTATATATCTTCCCCTTCCAGGTATGTATCTTGCAGGTATATATCTTGCAGGTATATATCTTGCAGGTATATATCTTCCTACGTTCTTACATTCAGCTGCCGAAGGTATTATGATGCCAATCATGCACACGGCTATTTAATCTTGCAGTCCCTCTCTGACCCCTCTGACCCCCACTCTGACCCCCTCTCTCGGACCCCACCCCTCTGACCCCCCCCCCCCCTCCCTCATCAACATTACCTGAACTGGTCAATTGTGAACTGACTGCCAAACTCACCAACGTAACCGTCAACTCTACAGTTGTCTTCCATTCTGGGCAACATCAGCTGCCACATGAGCACACAGCATCACGGGTGATACTACACCAATAATACAGGAAACACACTCTAATCTAATGTAAACTAACCAATCCCCAATCAAACTGAGCGCGATATAGTCGTAATGGCTTAGCGCTTTCTCCCGATACCAAACTGAAACTACTTAAAGCCTTATTTAGACTCGCTTATGATGCCCCTGTAGAGGAATATTGACTTTTGTAATAGAGATGTGTTATGAAGTTCCACCGTGGGATGGCCCGTGATCACACTTAAGAACAAAGGTAACTGCAGAATGCCTATTGGCCCGTACGAGGCAGCTCCTATTTATAATCACCCAATCCCACTCATATACATGTCCAACCCACGCTTGAAACAATCGAGGGACCCCACTTCCACCACGTTACACGGTAATTGGTTCCACAAAACAACCCTGTTACCGAACCAGTATTTACCCAGGTCCCCCCTCTTCAGCGCCCTGGAGAGGGGGGACCTGCTGCCTGGGTAACAGCTTCTCCCCCGAATCAACCTACCCTGGCTTTGTGCCCTGGTGAGGCCACTCCAGACCGACAACCAGAGCGCAACTCCATAGTCTCCTGAGACTGATGCATGCCTACTATTTACCCAAGTCTTTCCCAAATCTAACCTAAAATAAAACACAAACCCCTACTGTCTTCACCATTTGTACACATCAGTAGTCTTCACTTGTTCCCAGAGCAATCCACCAGCTAACCACTTCCTTCCTCATGTTTCATGGATCATACGTTTCCGGATCCAGTCGTGCACACCTGACATTCCTTGTCCCCGCGACCTGGTCATCAGCATCTTCCACAAATGATTTAGTTTATTCCATCACTCTCCGCTAAGCACGTCTTCCTGTCGACCAGATCGGTGTTGTCTCTCGAGGGAGGTCCCAGTGCGGCACTCCGGGGATCCCTGCCGTCTACACCAACGTCGCCCACTACAGACAGTGGATCATAGAGAACCTCCGCCCTTAGCTTCGTCGAGGAACCCGGAGACTAGGGAGGATCTTCCCGGTATCCACCACAACCTTCAGGAAATATAGGACCTATTTTATTAATAGCCAACTGGGCCAGGATTTATCCAGCACATGAGCAAGCACTTACAGCTGTACAGCTTTCATTAATTATGACGGGTTTGCTTGCATTTATTGCACAGTATTGGCGTTTGTCTTTCTACGGCGCCGAAAATCTCCAATGGAGAGGGAGGGGGGGGGACCTGCTGCATGGGTAACAGCTTCTCCCCCCGTATCAACCTACCCTGGATTTGCCCCTGGAATGGCCACTCCAGACCCACAACCAGAGCGCAACTCCATAGCCTCCCGAGACTGATGGATGCCTACTAATGCACAGTTTATGATCAACGAAGCACCACGAGGCTATTTATAGTAATAATAACCCCGGGGTTGTAAAGTTTCAAGCTCGTAAACTGTGTTTAGTAACACGACTGCTATAGTTGTTGATAGATGTACAGGTTACGCCAGCGGTGGTCTGTGTGCTTGATAACTCCTGGCCCAGAAGTAGTGACACACAGATTTTGTCCCTTGCCATAAACACGTGTGATGTCACAAGGGTCCCTGTGGAGGGCCCCCCTGTGGAGGCCCCCCCCCTGTGGAGGCCCCCCCCCTGTGGAGGGCCCCCCTCTGTGGAGGGGCCCCCCCCTGTGGAGGGCCCCCCCTGTGGAGGCCCCCCCTGTGGAGGCCCCCCCGCCCCCCCCTGTGGAGGGCCCCCCCCCTGTGGAGGGCCCCCCCTGTGGAGGGCCCCCCCTGTGGAGGGCCCCCCCTGTGGAGGGCCCCCCCTCTGTGGAGGGGCCCCCCCCTCTGTGGAGGGGCCCCCCCTCTGTGGAGGGGCCCCCCCCCTGTGGACGGGCCCCCCCCCTGTGGAGGGCCCCCCTGTAGACGGGCCCCACCTGTGGAGGGCCCTCGGCGCCACCAACAAAGGTCAGGTTATGACATTATTACCGGAAGGAAAACTGTGATGTAATTATCTAATTCCACATTGTTGTTTACAGACCTTCATCACATTCTTACAGTGTTAGCATTATTACACTTGTTGCTCAGTGCACGAAACTTAGATACTTGTATACAACAAATAAAGATCCAGAATAATTTTGTTTTTGTTTATTCTTGTTTGTGTGTTGACTAACCAAGCCAGTTAGTAGTAAGACGTGTTCGCCTACCTAACTAGTTGACGCATCAACCTGGCCAGGTCAATATACGAGCACTACAATCGTTAATGACCACATAGAGAGCAATACAGCCTTGCTAGATGACCACGTGGACACCCCGACCTAACACATGGGCGAGCGCATCAGGGAGTTCCGATTCACACAAAAAGATTCTCTTATCTATACAAGATAACACATACGTGTGTTGACCAGACCACACACTAGAAAGCGAAGGGACGAAGAGGTTTAGATCCGTCCTGGACCATTCTAAAGTCTCTCATCGACTTGAGAATGGTCCAGGACGGACCGAAACGTCGTCGTCTCTTCACTTTCTAGTGTGTGGTCTGGTCAACATACTTCAGCCACGTTGTGACTCATCGCCTGCAACACATACGTGTTTCACTACGAGTGTCCCAAGAAGAACATTATAGTCTCCCCTGCGACGCCTGTTGTTGACACGGACTGAGCGCAGGTGGGCCGGAGGTGAGGCTGGGAAGGCCCTGATGATACTCCATGCTTGAGATCTTGATGGTTACCTCCACGTCGCAGGCCGCACCAGACGGCCGTTTGTACTCCAACCCTTTTCCCCCGACTAAGTAGCCAACGTTATAAATACAAGCTATTAAGACAGCTAGTGACTCGCAAATAAACGTTTTCTCTGCATTGGACTCGAGTTATATGGGTTGGTTGGCTTCTTACGTTTTTCAAGTTAGGTTGAAAGGTTTGATTTTTTTAAAGAAGTGGCAAATCGACAGAACAAACGGATTATAGCCCGTTTAAGAAGAACTTGTTCAAGGACGTCGGTTTATTACCACTTTCATCTGTTGGAAGCTGAGTGCCCAAATGAGCCACAGAGACATTAGAAAGAATTTTTCAGTGTCAAAGTAGTTAGTAAATGGAATGCATTAGGCAGTGATGTGGTGGAGGCTGACTCCATACACAGTTTCAAATGGAGATATGATAAGAGCCCAGTAGGCTCAGGAATCTGTACACCAGTTGATTGACAGTTGAGAGGCGGGACCCAAGAGCCAGAGCTCAACCCCCACAAGCACATCTAGGTGAGAACATTTAGGCGAGTACACACACACACACACACACACACACACACACACACACACACACGCGCACGTACGTACGTACGTACGTACGTACGTACGTTCGTTCGTTCGTTCGTTCGTTCATACCCCTGGGGGGGGAGCGGCCTGGTAGCTGAGCGGACTGCGCATACGACTCGTAATTCTGTGGCCCGGGTTCGATTCCCGGACCAGTCAGAGAAACAAATAGGCAAAGTTTCTTTCACCCTGATGCCCCTGTTACCTAGCAGTAAATAGGTACCTGGGAGTTAGACAGCTGTTACAGAGCTGCTTCCTGGGGTGTGTGTGTAGGGGGGGGGGATAGTTAGTAGTTACAGTTGATTGATTGACAGTTGAGAGGCGGGCCGAAAGAGCAGAGGTCAACCCCGCCGCAAGAACAACTAGGTGAATACACTCACTCACCCTCCCTCCTGTATTTAATACATTATGATCATTCTGGTGTCATGGGTAATTAATACAATTCTGCATATTCATCTAATACAATAATATAATTGTAATAGTTCCCTCGTAGTGAGGCCGTCCCCCATCACTCGCTCACTATCATACACTCCACGAATTTGTAATAAATTTGGCTCCAGTTTCTATTAGAATAAAATTTACTAGGGAATGGCCCAGTCACTTGGACCATCGGAGGATCGAACGCAGACCTCCAAAAGCAAGGACTCCACAGTACCGAGGAAGGGAAGGGAACTATCATGAGAAAGCACCAAGCCACGACGACTATATAGCACTGGGAAGGGATCAGGATAAGGATCCTGATAAGAGTCGAAATGCATTTATTAATAGCAATTTACATAGAATTGCCGTTTCATTCATTTATTAAGCCAAGTTCTTTCCCCACGAGTCGTATCACATTAATCAAACAAGAAAACTCTGGGACGGGCCTCATTTCTCCAGGGTAAATCTAAAATCTGCGACGGAATGTTTCGGGAGTCTGAAGCTGTACTTAATCTGAACGTCGCCGACGAGGCCCTCAAGATGCAGCTTGTCATTTTGCATGTCGAAGTTGAACACAAATTTGACTGCAGTATTTGGCGAGGACAAGGCTGAAGGGGACGGGGCCATTTGAACCTCCTCCACCTTGGTGAGGACAGATAAGATGAATTTAAAATTTTCTGCCTCATTTTCGTTTGTGCAGGTGATCGGGTTTGTGTTTTGTTTCACCCTTCTGGTGGGACAAGAAGCTTGGATACTTATTTCCCCTGGTGCGGACAGAGAGGGACCACTAGAGCTTAATATTCTTCGCCTTTTTATTTTCAGTGGTGAGGGGGATGGGGATTTTTGTTTCTTTTTCCCCTCTGGTGGAAGCACGGGGGAGCAATAGCGTTTCCTTGATGTTTGTGTTGGGCTTGGTGTCAACGGGCAGGTTTGAGGTGGTAATGATTCTGTAGGTGATCCTGAAGATGATGTACTTTCCTCTGCTGGTGACCACGGATCAACCATTGGTCTCTTGATGTGACGTGAGCCTGGAGGATCCTCCTCACTGCTAGACTCGCTACTACTCTTCAGTCTCCTGAGCTCACCATGAAGAATATCGATCATAGCCTAGTTAGAAGGCCTCATGTGCCAATGTTTATGCCGCGATCTCACGATCCAGTTGCATATATCTCGAGAAGGATTTCTATATACGAGAAAATTGGTCCACAAACATCCAAGACTGTAGACCTCGCTGGACTCGGAACACGGCAAACCTTCGGTGATCTCTGGGGCGTACCAGTAAAATTTTTGGTCGTCGATAGTCCGCGGGCCCTGGGCCAGAGGAGTGCCTAGCTTCCGTGTAAATCCAAAATCAATCAACGTCACTTTTAAATCCTAGCTGGTAATACAAATATTGTTCGGCTTAATATCATTATGCCCATAGCCTTTCCTGAAGACATGGCTCATTATTTCATGCACTTAAAGCATTATCTCGTACAAGTTAATCAGCGAGTACCGCGCTTGGTATTTGAAGTCCTAGAAGGTCATCCCAGCGAACCTGGACACAAGCTGACGCCTCTGAAGGCACACCCCGAGCAAGGCCTACACTCCAGGCACGCCTGCCAGACTGGCCAAGGCGTTACATTCCATGCAAATGAAGGTAAACCAATTGTCGCTTTTGGTAAAAGTTTTTACCACTAAATCCGGTGCGTTGGGTCGTCTCAGGTGTTGGCATCTCCCATAAGCGCCGGTGCCCAGGCTCCTCACGCGAGCACCTAAGAAAATCTTATCCATTTACTCCACCGTCAATAACTTGACGGTACTGTCAAGACGCGGATTTTATGGGAATATGATTTTCATTTTAATAAGTATATTATCAATCTAATGAAATTATTGTATGTCAACCTTCAGACAAGACGAAGAAAGAGAATATATTTTATTTACTTGAAATTAGTAAGGTCAGAAGACACACTAGCGAGGTGCTATTACAGGACTAGTAAGGTCACTAGCGAGTTGCTTTTACACCACTAGTAAGGTCACTAGCAGGAAATCCGGGATCGAACGCGGACCTGCACGAAGCAAGGGCGTCTACGTGCCGACCGGTCAAAGGTAAAAATAGGAGAAAGCGCCAAGCCATTAAGACTGTCTAGCACTTAGAAGGGATGGGACCGGGGGAAGGAATGGTGTCCATCCCCCTGGATGGTCGGGGATGGAACGCAGACCTGTGTGAAGGGAGACAGTCGCTCTACCCCTGTAACCACGAACTAAATTTATTTGGATTACAGTGAGGATAGTACTGAAGGTGGTTACGGTGAAGCTAGTGAGCATGGTGAAGATAGTGAGTAGCAAAGATAGTGAGCATGGTGAGTAGTGAAGATAGTGAGCATGGTCAAGATAAGATAGTGAGTAGTGAAGATAGTGAGCATGGTGAAGATAGTGAGTAGTGAAGACAGTGAGCATGGTGAAAATAGTGAACATGAAGATAGTGAGTAATGAAGATAGTGAGCATAGTGAAGATATTGAGTAGTGAAGATAATGAGTATGGTGAAGATAGTGAGCAGTGAAGATAGTGAGCATAGTGAAGATGGTGAGTAGTGAAGATAGTGAGCATGGTGAAGATAGTGAGTAATGAAGATAGTGAGCACGATGAAGATAGTGAGTAGTGAAGATAGTGAGCATAGTGAAGATAATGAGTAGTGAAGCTAGTTAGTAGTGAAGATAGTGATTATATTGAAGATGATGAGTATAGTGAAGATGTAAGATGAGGGGGGGGAGGGGGGACGGGGCTAGAGGGGATGAAGTGGTGGGGGGGGGGAGAGGAGGGGAGGGGTGACGAGAGGATAGTTAAGACAAACTTCACCAAGATCGTGTTCAAGAATGACGTCCTTTTGAGCTACCCGTTGATTGGTTGTTTCAAGCAACGGCAACCAATCATTGCCCTTCTTTTTCATCCGGGTCTTGGCGTCTTCACCTCG